AGGAGGATGAACAGTTGTTTAAGGCTGCTTAGGAAAAGCATCACCTCTGAGGACAGGCACCAGTCAGATCTTCCCTGCTCCACATCCCTGAAGTAAGCTGAAACTCAGCCAGAAGAGGAATCCTGTGTCATTCTGCTAGCACAAAGGGATCTCGAAGCAACAAGACTGCTCTGCAGGAGAAAGCACTGATGAGCAGCACACTTCCTGGGTAACAAACTGTCCTCACATATTACAAGATGATCCACAAAGAATGCCAAGATACTCTTCCAGGTTGACACTTGCCATTTTTCTAATGATGTCACATCCCATGCCCATATACCTCCACCATGCACATACTGTTAGGTGATGCCAAACTCCTCAGGGTTGTAGCACTGTCTCTTGAAGTGCTTTAGAGACCTTCACAATAATTTGAAGGAGCATTAAATTACTACAGACAAGTAAAAGGAGGAAGTCTTGGTAACTCTGAAGACCACATGCATCTCATGGCCTGAGATAGTTTGCCCTATGTGGTGGCAAACCACAGTATGATCTTCAATTAATACTATGGCTCTAGGATTATTTTTTTTTTTTTCTAAATCCCTAACATCAGATGTTCTTTCCACTGATCTAGAAAAAAAATTAAACTCAAATCCTTTTTGTCCAGAGACTCAGTGGATTGCAGGGAACACATAACAAGTCACTGCTGACTGTGAGAACATTTTAGGTGGTGACAATACAAAAACCACAAATGCTGCTAGACTGAAGAAATAGGAACTGAAGGAATATGGCTCTTTAGCACTGTAGTGAGCATAAAATGAGAGCTGAAACAATCAGTTCCCCAGACACCCTTATTGTTTTTTTAGAAGTAAACATACCTAAATAAAGAAAAAAAATAAAGCTGCTACTCCAACTTGGTTTGAATGACTTAATGTTTCATCTAAACTCTTCAAAAAGTGGCAGGCACCAGAGAAAGGAAAACTTGTGATTTAACACAGGTTAGCACAAATATTCAGATATTTCATATCTTGGAAAGCCTTCACTTTGCAAGCAAATTCCACTGGGTACACTGTGATCCTGTGTTTGACTGGAAATTGCATTTGCCCAGAAAATGGAGCAGTCATTACACCATCCCAATAACCCATGAAATTCTATTGCTCAAGTCAGAAAAGTTGATTTGGGGACAAGCCCTATCTATCAAACCTCTAGTGAGAAAAGAGGACAGGTGGAAAACTGGTGCTGTTGGCTGCCATTTAAATACAGCTTTAATTCAAATGCAGCACCTTTCTTTCTCAATATGTTTCTCTAACTGCTGTCATGTCTGCAGCCCAACAGGGGTTTTCAGTTTTTCAGATTTATCCAAGTGCTTAACATCAACTTGGAGCCAAATAAAACTTTGTAATTACAACAAAAGACTGCACGAGTAGAAACTCAGCATCTTCAGGAAGAAACCTGAAGTCTGGTAATCTTTAGTTACAGCTAGAACAAAGTTCATAGTCTAGTGAGTAGAACTCCTAGCTAAACCACACATGTGGCACAGCAGGCACTCTGAATCAATTTAAATCACGTCTGAAGTGCTTTCCTCCAGAGCTGCAGAGTTCATAGTGTTCTCTATTGAAATAAGCCCGTGCTGAAGACTCTGGTTTACGAGGAGCTGCCGCCACACAGCAGACAGGAAGTTCAGCTGCCTCAGAAGCGAGATGGAGAAAAGCTTTATAAAGGGGAGGGGAAGTAAAACAACTTCACACACTCCATCCGTGTAGCAACTGCTAGTTAAACAGAAAAAAAAAAGTATCTCAGAGCTCATCTTCTTTCAAGGTAAGAAAGACCTAGAGCTATACAAACATCTCAAATAACAAGTGAAATCTGGGGATGTTTCACCTTGCTCTAAGAAGTATACAAAATGAATCGTGCAAGGAAAGTTGATCACAGTTCTCAAGAAAACAAAGGGAACCTTCAAAAAAATTAAACATTAAGAAGCAGTGAAATCCACACGCAGAGTTTAGACTGAAGTTTATCTCGTATCAGTAGAAAACTCAAGTAAAAAGTAAGCACAATAAAACTAGTCTAAGTAATTAAAAATACCAGAGAACCAAGGTGAAAGCAAAGCTCTCCATTTCATCTCAGGGTTCAGTGATGGGAGATTATAGACCATACACCACAGTACTACATTGCTTGCCTCTGAATCTCTTAACAATATCTATTCATGTACTCTTTAAACCAAAAAACACAGCAAAACTGGACATTAGCTGACAACATAAGGGATCAGGAAGCCTTGGTATCGTTTGGGTATCTAGAAACAGAACATATACTGAATTTGACACATCCCACAATCACAATGAAATACAAAGTTCTATCATTTTTACAATCTAAGGGCCTATTTGTAATGCTACTTTTGCTATGACAAACCTGGAAAACTGCTCAAACACATGATTAAATTTGCTACAGGTCAAAGACAGAATCTTTAAACTAACTGAAGAAAACACACCCCAAAACTTTAAGCTTGAGTTTAAAATGAGTAGAAATACTAGGTGAACACTTATCTACTCAGTGCTTCAATGAAGGAAGACAGGGTAACCACCAGAGGACTACCCACCCTTTATGAACATGACACATCAAATTAAAAGGCAAATTAAGCACACGGAAAATCCCCTCAGTTAAGAAGTATCAGAATGAAAAACCTTGAGCCTATGAAGTAGATGCTCACAGAATCCCCACTTTCACATGCATTCACACAAGAGTGTTCCTCTGCCTGGAATTTCCTCAGAGGCAGTTCTGGCAGATGCTACGTTGGTAGCTTTGTCGATCTATGTACAAAACTGCTGAGGCACTATGGTGACATTTCAACTCTGGATCAACTATTTTGGGCCATCATTCACTCTGCCAAACGCTGAAGCAGAATTCCTGAATAAAAATATTCTAGCATTAGTAACTTTATCTGCATTCTAGATCTCAAACTAATGCCTAAAATAATAATTAACTGACAGCTCCCCCCATAGCCTTTTTTTTATTCATGTAATTAAAAACATGCCTCTCTGGCTTAAAGCCAGCGATGAACAAACACACATTATGCGCTGCCTCAAGAATCAAAGCCCATAAAATAATGTTGCACAGAGCTACAAAAATCACATGGTGTGAAGAGACTGCTGAGGTCTACGAAAGAGGTTCTTAATAAAACCAAACACCAAAAATCTAACAGAGGATGAAAATCTCAGACGCTTCTCAAGGAGCATTTTACTGTTTCTGTTGATAATGTAAGAAACGCTCTCCCATCCTGTTTGCTCCTCTCGTGAGGCTAAAGCTTACTTCCAGAGAAGTTTCATTCCAGGCAGAGTAATCCTGCATTCCCATGCAATTCACACTAGCAAAGTTTGATTACAGCCATGGATTTGTGATTTGTTCACACCAGAGCACAACGCTATGCCCATTTATTAGTTTGTCTACCTCTAGCTTAATTCAGATGAATTCTTCTAAAGATTTTAGTGAAGCACTCTAGAATTTACTATAAACACACATAAAACAGGGAGTGGCATTCATTAGTGAGGCTCATGTTCTATTTTAACACACAGCACATCTACCACCCTCTTACATGATTAAGACAAGAGAGGAAAATGGATGAAGTAGCTCAGTATTTTAAGAATCCATTCAGAGGAAACAAAGTTAAAAAAAATCAGAAGAGTAAATAAAATTAGTTTTGAACTGGCAAGAAGAAAGACTTCAGTCTTCTTACACATTACGAGAAAAATTCCTCATTCAATTGTGAGCCAGAATCAATATTTTTCAATAAGAGCCAGATTCAATTCAGTTTCCTTAGCAAAGCAGTCAGTATCCAGCACAGCCAACTTTACTCCTTCTCCCCCGTTTGTCAAATTTGTGCAAGCCTCGCAGGACTAGATGGAAAACAATTTTTTTCCAAAAAACCTCATTAACTTGAATTCCAAATACCGTATCTGCCCTCAGGAATTTTTTCCTCTTCCAGTCAAGTTTTCCCACCATAGGAAATATTTACCTTCCACCCAGAAACTTTTAGAAGACCCAATATACCATTAAAGCTGAACATGCTTTGAGCATTTCCTCCAGCCTGGTCGGTTTGGTAGCACTAGCTGTTACTTGTTACAAGCACGGGTGAAAGATTTTAGCCAAAGGAAGACTTTTGTAGTCTATTAAAAATCTTTGAAGTCAAAAAATCATACAGAAATTAGCCTGAAACAGGCTACAAGGGCTTAAGTGCTGGTCCAAACCTACTGAGGTCTGCAGAAAATCTCCAGTGATCTTTGGATCAGTCCCAAAGCACCTACAGCAGCATAGATAAGAGGTGGCGGCTACATTTTAAAGGTATGTTTTTCCTGTAAAACAAAACCAGCTGTAAGTGATTTCAGTCACTTTATTCTGATGGGACGAAGCAAGTTTTCAACTTTACATCTTATGCAGCTTCACAGTAACCATCACTGCCATTAGGGAATTTAGCTTTTGAGATCAGTCTATGAAACAACCAACTCAGAAAAAAAAAAAAAAAAAAAATTCAGAAATCAATTCCAAAAGTGATGCTGCTTCTGTATTATAGCTCATGGTGAAAACTGAGAAAAGAAGCTTCATTCCCCCATGCATGTTGCTTGCTCTAACAACTGGCAATCTAAGACCGAAGGAGGACTCTTCCTGAAAGTGGAATTTTTCGTTACTCTTGCCACACAATCCATTGGCCAAGTCTAATTTCTAAACCGTTTTCGAACCTATTCAACACCAAATTTACACTGGTCCCCAAAATTTTATCACAGTGTGACAAGAGAAATAAAATTCCCTTCTTCAAAATAGTAAAAAGCCTCCACAAGTTTCCCTCCAGAAATACTAACACGCTTTAAAACAAACACCAGAATTTATCCAGCCAGGTTTCAGAGGTACTCATGTGACTACCTACATACACCAAGATGTGAAATATTGGTGATTCTGCATCAGGTGGGCAGTCCAGGCTTGTCAGACGGTAAGCACAACGTAACTGCTTCCAGTCTCAACACCTTCCTTCTTACCTTGCCTCCTTCTCTTTCAAAGTCGACATATTCCCGGGTCGGCGTCTGCCGCTGCTCCCCCTGCCAGCTGGCCGGAAAAAACTGGAGAGACAGATTGGTTCCTGTGGCCACAAAAGCCTTTTAGAAAAATCAATACAAACAGGATCAGGGAGCAAGACATTACATAAATTATGCAGGCAGTCATTTATTTTTACATCAGTTTATGTCTTAAGCCAGGCAGCACAGAGAATACTTAAAGTCAAAAACATGCACTCATCATTTTTCTTAAGTATTAAGTTACAAACATCTGATTCCATTTTGACAACATTTGCCATTGGCTGCTTCGGATATAAAATACAACATGGAATCAATACTTCTTTCAAATCAGTTTTGCTGACATTAGAATCTGTCCTTTCAGTTCCGTCTGGATTCTCTGCGCTGACTGAGCATCTGCAACAGTAAAATTTGCCCCTGCTTTTTAAAGAGCTTGCCTATCTCTAAAAATTACTGCTGAAGGAAAATGAACTGCCAAGACCTGTTACTAGGGACAATTTTTTTTTAAAGTAAAGGGCTTGTTTCCTTTCACAATCTACTTGTACTCAGATAAACACTTATCGGAACTGAAATGTAAATATTCCTCTTTTATCGTCTACGGGCAAGCGGCATCAATACACAGCTCAATTAAACTTCACAGGATTAAGTCCTCTTGCCACATGAAGACACTGCTGAAATTCCAACGGGCAGATGCTGTGTCGGTAGGAACAGGCAACCGTAGGAATTCTTCTCAGCCGCAGCCCTTTGTAAAATCATTAAAGGGACTGACTTAACCATATTAGAAAAAGCGTATGTTGCTTTCAAGTAAATAATTTTCTATGATTTCAAATGAAAAGAAGATGCTGTTTTCTTTATAAACTCTGCATTTTTTTTGCATATCTTATCAACTCCAAGCCATGAAAAGTATGTCGATTTGTAGACGTGAAATGAAAAAAAATTACTCTTGCAAGCAGAAGTCAGATTCACAAGTATTCACACCCTTCTCTGGTACACATATGTCCTGTAAGCACGTGAACACTCCTACATGCTCCCACAATATAACTCTACACAAAATCCTGGGGTTAAACATAATTTGTTGCAATCCAATAACTGTATTGATTATCATGATCACTTAGATTTAAATGGCTATTAACCCAGAATAGTTTTTCTTAAAAGCTATACAAACACCACTAACAGTTGGAATTTCCCGACAAGCAGATTCCTTTCAAGGAACCCAGAATCCAGCAACTTCATGGTATAATCATACTGCTACCTGTGACACAACAGCTCTGCATTAAAGAGAGTTCTGGTCATGTACAGCAACACTGCCTGTCACAGGATTAATACCTCCCACTGTGAAAGTAGAAGTGCTTTGTCTCGACTTTTTTTCCTCTGCCAAGGGAGGTTAATAGTCTGCAGTCAGGTTCTATTCCACACCACCCTTAAAAGCAGATTTTTTTGATTATTATTTTTGTAAAAGCTCCTGTTAAGCACACTCTGGATGGCATTAAAATTGATGAATCTGTTCCACTACTACTCGGGGGGGGGGGGGGGGG